AAAAAAAGTATAATCATAACATCAAACGAAAGAGCAGATCCTTGGAGATTAATCATCAATACAGCTGTGGTCACGCTTCACGCTTACATTCAATATTGAGTTCGATATATAGACATCTATTCGTTTTTCTTTTCAATTCTCTTTCTCTCTCTCTCGCGGCGTCTTCGAGATAAGATGACGACAACTATTCAATTGGGAATCAACTTGCGATTTACTTCATTTCCCTCACTGCTCATTTCATTTGTTATGTTGATGATTCTTTGTTAATTATCAGACGTCGACATTTGTACATGACCACCGAGCTTGCGTCGTTGTCTTCAATCGACCGAAATGTCATACATTGATTTACTATTATCAGCCTCATTGATATCCTCGATTACAATAACAGAAAACAAAAGTGAGCTTTTCTAAAATTAGATTCACTAACAGTTCATGTCATTAGTACAAAAGCAAATAGATATACATCTTTGAACATCCGACATACATCGTCAACATTGATTGGATTGAAGTGATAAGAAACGAAGAGAAGAAGAAGAAGAAAGGCAGTATTGGTCAAGGTTAGCTAGCGCTTCTCGCCTTTCTCATCGATTAGTATCATAGGCTTTTGTATACATAATGCAATCGAATCCTATCGACAAGGTGTCGTCTTCCGGCTTCTGTAATTGTCGAGTCACTTGAGTAACACCAAGACTTTGACGCATATTAATCAAAATGTTTTCATCATCAGCTTTCCAACTGTTACGTAAGGTTATTGGAATTAATTTCCACTTCTTTCTCTCTTTTATATCTAGGCGAAGCGAGCAACATGCCGTGTTTGTAATTACTTTATCAGAAGCGAATGCCCATCGTGTTTTTTTTTGTTCAAACATATACAAAGATCTAATATGATTTCATTCGTATTTCGATCTATTTCAGATGATGTTTATCTTATTGATCATCTTTCTTATCAACAATGGTCAATCATTCGAATGGAATTGTACTGTTAATAAACACAGTCTTTTCTCCAATGATCAAACAACTGAACAGTGTACTATTTTAATTGAATATCTCTCATTACAACAAGACAAACAAATATGCACAACACATACATTAGCAGTAAGGAATCTTCCACTTTACTCCTTACTATCCGACTATACGATGCGAACGTTTCAAGTAACCTCGTGTCAATTGTTAACCTTAAGTCAACTACCGTTTTCGTTACCATCGTCACTGGAAACACTCGATTTAAGCTCCAATCTTTTATCGACATTCGTACTTTCGTATCCAATACCATTAAATTTAAAGTACCTATACCTCGATTCGAATCCAAATCTGCGTTACATGAAATTCGGTCATAACCAGCAATTGATCGGTCTCAGTCTCCGTCATAATCAGCAACTTCAACTCTCATCTTTACCAAGAAATTTAATACAATTAGACTTAACTAATTGTAGTTTAGCGCAATCATCTTTAATGTCAATAGTGAAGTCTTTAAAGAGATTAACTCATTTATCCTTAGTCGACAATCAGCTAGAACGATTGCCTGTACTTGATAGAAGTATAGAACTTGAATATTTAAATCTGTCGAACAATGCTTTAACAACAATTGATGACCACTGGTTACATAAATCATTACGAATATTAGATTTGAGATTTAATCAAATAAAATCGATGGAATTTTGCAAGGAGAGATTGAAAATCAATGAAACAGGTGACGAGAGTTCACATCAAGTAAGTTCCATGATGATAGATACATCTGTGATGTTCTCCTTTCGCTTTTCTAGTCTTCAAATGTTAACACTCTTCAGCTGGTACTTTACGGTAATCCTCTTGTATGCGATTGCTGGCTCAATTCTTTACTAAATTCAACCGCTGTCAATATAACTGATTTGTCATATCTTCAATGCAATTCTCGCTCAATTCTACACGTTCCTTCTAGTGATTTCCAATGTTATTATACTCGACATTGTGCACCGGACTGTTCCTGTTGTGATTTCGAAGCATGTGATTGTCATTCTGTGTGTCCTTCCGAATGTTTGTGTTCACACGATACTCTTTGGTCGCATCATGTCGTCAAATGTCGACAAAAGGATTTGCTTCAGGTTCATTCCCTTCTACCAGAAACAATCACTGAACTGAGTTATGAAGAAAATCACATCGAACATATCAAACCGTTCGTCTTCGTTGGCAAAACATTCTTGACAAAAGTAAACTTTGCGAAAAATCATATTCGGAATCTGACCAATGAAACATTCTGCGCGGCGACGAATCTCGAAGAAATTAATTTAAGTTATAATTCAAATCTTATGCAAATTTTACCCAACTTGAATGAATTGTTTGCATGCTTGAAACATTTACAATATGTTATACTATCGAATGAACAGGTTAATGATGGAGAAACGATCAGTTTCGGATGGAAAATTGAGCAAAGCGATGATTTGATTTATGCAATACGAACAACGGAACTATCAACGACAGGTTTGTCTTAACAAAGCTAGAATTGAACAATTTCAATCAGATTATTTTTAGTACTACCAGAAGATATCACACTATCAACAACTAGTATTCAGCCGGCTTCGGAATCGATTGCTGATCCGGCAAAATTCTTTTCAATATTTCATCAGGATTCCTATACTGCCTCGAATCTTATTCAACACAATCAAACATTAATCGTTATTGTCTTTTTCCTACTCTTCTTTGTCCTACTCTTTCTATTATTATTGATATCATTAGCGATTTGTCGACGAAAGCTTCGTCATCATATCACAACTGAACTTGAACGACAACGAGCACAGCATTATTACTACCATCCGACTCTTCATCAACCGATAAACAAAGCACCAGAAAGTCTTCCAGTGAATGATAGTCTCTATGAACAATTACCTTCATTATCGTCCGATAGTGAGCAACCATTTTTATGTAACGACAAGAAACTGATGAATGTGAACGCACCAGCTCTACCGCCGTATCCACCATCGTTTCGTCATTATCATTGTTGTCATTCTGGCAACGCCCATGAATATCTCTCGACGATGAAAGGTTATTCATCGCCAAATCTACAACAACAACATCAAGCGTGTCAAGCAGTGCTGATTGTTGGCAGTCAATTAATTTATCCGAACCATCAAGAATGTATATCGGAACTACAGCAAAATTTACTTCTGAATCAATCAGAAAATAATCCAATTCACTATTGTAATAATGAACCAGTTTTTGTTCCTACGACTCTTTGTCGATGTCAGAGTCAAATGAAACAATCTGACGCTTATGTTTGTCCTAATGTAAACAGATAGATGTGATTGTATATATAAATAAATTGGTGTTTTTGTATAGATTTAGTAGTAGACGAACGACTACGAATTTCACTTATAAATACAAGTTTTGATCAGTAAAAGTGTCCTATGATTCAGCGATCATCTTTTGCTCTGCTATACTGCACTATTGTCAAGATTTCAAGGTAGTAACATACCTATGCACTCTTGTCTGCATTAGACAAAGGTCGCTGTTAAGCGATAACCGTCTGTATTCAACAATTATGACAGAATGAAAAAAAAACATGCTCGCATGCCGAGAATAATAATAATTCACTTGTGTGAATTGATGTAGTTTTTGTTTTGAACTGATACTGTATAAACATAGGAATGGCTGCTGCGACTGCTATAAAACCTGGTCCGATTGGTATGCGCGCATCGTAATTGATATGTTCTAGTTGTTTGATGGTTTCTTGTAGAAAATCGGACAACACTTTTTCGAACACAAATGGTCAATGGAAAGCCGCAGATATATTTTGAAGAAATTGGTTCGTTAGCTGAGATGCTTGTTTCTTTTCCTTTATCATCGATGTATTTGTTAGATGAGCCTCAAGAGAAACCACAAACCAAAACAAAACGGAATAGTCGTGCGGTAAATACTATACGTGTTCCAGAACAGCCTAAACCGAAACAAACTGTTCAAAAACCTGCTCCTATTTCACAGAGCGTTCCTACCAAACAACCGAAGAAAACGCATAAAATTGTTGTTAACGATAAAGATGCCTCTGTCGGTGTTTTCATGACTATGGAAGAAATAGCTGAACTTGTCAAAGCTGTGAAAGACACTTCCAGAGCTTCCGAAAACCAAGGTACTGTTTTAAATGCAGTTCGACAGGTAAAAATCGCAGATGTCTGATGTAGAGATACTACTACCACCGCCATTGCCACCGCAACCCCAACCCCAACCGGTTCTATCGCAACCAGATCTGCTACCATCGCCGCCTCAGCAACAACAACAACAACAACAACAATCGAATAATGCTCCTGTTCCTCCATTAGATTTACCACCACATTCAAACACAGTATTACCCCTCGGCCAAATCTCACCTCGCGACGAAGGCCTAGGAATGATGGCTGACAAGAAACGTAAGAAATGGATGCGAGAACGAGGTATGAGGATCAACTTCGCGTATTATCTGTCATAAGTTTGTTCTCTCTGTAGCGGAAATGGATCGAATGAGACTTGAAGTAGAATATGATCAATTAAAACATCAGTTATCTTCTATGAATCAAAATACTTCTACGTCGCCTGGTAAAAAACCAAACTACAACAATTTCATCGAATTTCTTTCTTGTTCCTTCTCAATTTAGAACGTATAGTATATCCGTCGGATTTCTCATCAACCAATAAACAGACAATAATGCCAACTGGAAAACCTGCAGATAATCCGACAAATGACTATGCCAGAACAGGTTTAGTGGAAAAGAAACAACAACAATGGCGACAAGAAAATGGTAAAGTGCAATAGTATGTTCTTATTTATTGGTAATGTGATCCTTTCTAGCGGAGAAAGCTCCTGCGTGGAATCCATTTGGACGTCCAGGTGCTGGTGCTCCGAATCTCAACGAAGTTGACCAGAGAATCTCTGTACGTGACATTTCTTTTGTTTATTAGATTCCTTTGATGAATTTGATATTTTAGCAATTACCCACAAATGTTGTTGTGCCATATCGTGTACCTGATCCTCCATCAGTAACATCAAATATCGTTATCAATGATCAATCACGTGTGCCTGCTGCTATGCGAACAAATCTTTTACTTGGCGATGTTCGATTTGAAGACGATGTCAAAGTTGCAAAAGAAATAGAACGACGGCAATGGTTAGGTGATCTCCAAAAACAAATCGAAGAAAACAAACGGAAGAAATTCACAGAACAAGAAACAGAACGTCGGCAAGACTTTCTCCATGAAAATGTTCAGCCTATTGTGCAAGAAGCAGCCAATCGTCATAATCAGCACCAACAGCCAAAAGATTCATCGCCTACTCCATTCACTAATACGTCAACAGCAAATCCTAATCCACAAGAATCAAGCAAATCTCGACAGCATGATACATTGGTTCAACAAACCTATGAGAAAATAGTCGAAGCAGCTGAATTGGCTAAGTACGAGAAGAAACAACAACTGATTGAGAAGTTAAAACGAAATGGACATAAAACAGATCTGTTAGCAAAAACACTACCAGGTAAATTCGTGTTCAATTGAATCACTCTCCAACGAGATATATCTTTCTTAGAAATGAAAACACCGATTCCACAACCAACTCAACGAACCACAGATAGATATCAGGACGCTTCACCTAAGAGAACAACAACAACAGCAGCAGCAGCAAAAGTGGAACCATTGCATTTGAACACAGTTAATGATTATCAACAATCATATCGAACTAACGATGCACGACGAGATGAAGCTGTTAATACTATAGACTCCACATTTCGAAGTGACAATGGTGTACAAACTGATCTTCGAATGATTCCTCAAAATCAAATGTTTCATTACACACGCGAAGAATCAGATCTTCCTCCACAAGTTCCCAACCATCTTATTCGCGAAGGCAAACAAACGAAGAAAAACGTTCGTATTCGTTCCCAAGAGGATCATCAACGTCAACGACGTTCATCTGTTACAACCACACATTCGAAAGCTAACTCTCAGGATGAAAATACCTACCGAAATCCATACGGTCCACATGATCTTGTTCATCGACCTCTATGGAATTATCAGAATCCTGGCCATCGTGAATACGTCCCGAACTCGAAACGTGACCCAAATTATGAAAAACGTCACCACCCGAAACAGGCAGGCAATGAAAGAACTACAATCGATCGCAACGATGATATACAAAAGCGAACAGCGTATAATCGATGGAATAGTGATAGCGAATTGCAACATAAACGAAAAGAATCAAAAGCGCCGAGTCAGAATCAACCACGTTCGATTATTTCCAAACATATTCAATCTCATTCACAACAACAAGAACCAGCAAACATACCGAGAGGAACGAATAAAGAAAAAACATTTGCTTTGATGAATAATGAAGATGACTCAAGCTTTCGTAATATACCGACATTAGACAAATATGAGCATTTTATACCATATACGAGATCAGATGAAATTCTTGATCCAGCTCGAGCATTTTCACCTCTTCCACAATCACGAGAATCTTCAGCTCATGTCCAACGTTCCAAAGTATGTCGTCACAAAGAACGAACATTCCATCTCAACAAAACTCTTCTATATTTAGCCTACGACATACACTAATGATGATCATCATCATCATCGACGACCCAATGTAAATGTGCAACAACCGCCTTACCACGTGCCTCCATCTCAACAGCAGCATATTCTCCAACAATTAACAGCAATCAAAGAAGTTCGTATAATCGTGTGGAAACTTTTTAAAAATCACGCACGCATTTTATTCTAGAACTTAGTTCGACGGCAACAAGAAGTTGCTACATCCATGAATGCCATTCCAGTTTAATCGAAAATAATCATTGTTTTCTCGCTTAGCGGTTCAAAATAACTTTGTGTTCACTATACGTTTCGTGTTTGTGTTAAACCCTAATAAATATTCATAAATTAAAGTCTCTTTTTCTCAGGGGAAAACATCTCGCAATACAAGCAAACATCTGCTCTGCCCTTCGATTCGATAGATGTCGCTCTTGTCAACTATTCTGTTGATAATTTGAATTATATTTCTATTCGATAACCGTTGATTACTATTATCAATGGTTTTTCTCTTCCCAAACTATTTCAGATACATGTCAATCAAGAAAAATTATTTCAAATGCGTTCAGTTTCGTCCGTTATCTAATCATAATGAATTCATCGTTCTTCTTCTATTTCTTTCTGCCCACTGTATTTACTGACTATAATACGATGTTTTGTTTGTCTAAGTATGTTTTTTTTTACATTTTAATTTACGTCGTTCTATCATTTGAATACAACGAAATAAGATTGTCTTCTTCTTCTCTCTTTCTAGACAAACTTCATTTTAATCAAGAATCGAGTAATACTATGACCATATTTTCAGCCGTTCGTCGATTTTTCAAATTTATTCATTGGCTCTATTTGCAATATTTACTTAACACAGCATTGTACATGCTCGAACCGTGGGAACGAGCTTTGTTTTCAACATTACTTGTTGCAATCATATCCACAGCGATCTACTCCGCCTGGGTTTTTCTACCACATCATCTTCGTTCGATGATGGAATTGTATTCGTAATTCCGAACAAGTATGGATTGGGACCAATGGGGTTTTTCGCACTTCAATGAATATATAACATGTATTTTAAATCGACTTACCTCTTGATCTATTTCTTCATGTCTCGATGAGATTGAAATAAAGGAAAAGAAAGCAATTACTTGTATCTTCCATGTTTTTGCCCAATTAATGTTTATTTACCTGTCATCAATTTTCTTTTCTATCCATTTATTATATGATATTCTACCGACCAAAACTAACTATGTATTAACGACAGATTCTTTTTGCCCCTCGCCATCTTTTGTTACCTATTAAACGAACGTCGATTGTATTATCATTTATCGCTTTTCTTCTTCATTTTCTTCCTTTCACTGTTTTTGCACGTGCTCGACAAACCATGTATCGCTAACCCTGCTTCTATCTTTTACATTCAGTTCAGAATGACTCGAGTGATTTCATTTGAAATTTACTTACTGGTCTTCTTGTACGCTTTTTATATGCTCTTACCGGCGATCAGATTTCTTGTCATTTACATCTCACACGTACACACGATCGATTTTCGCAACTTCTATATTTGCTTTGATCGCTTCTTCTAAAATTCGCTTTTTTTACTGCGCCCCTTGAATTAAATCCATACACATACGCGACCATTTCACCTGAGTAATAGGACCATAATTCGATCAAATAGTCTGCTTTCTTTTTCCTATATCTCACAATGACAAATAGTATAGTTTATTCGTCATGTTTAGACCTCAAAAATGGCAAGCAATGATTCTCTTTCGGTAATATATTTTGTATAATGCCAGTAAATAGCTTAACTTCTGCCATTTGAATACTAAAGAATGTCGCGCAATCTGTGAATTTAGTCTGAAATTTTCCTTTTCTTTCCATTTTATGTAGACTAAACATGAACTGCAGTGGTATCAATCATTCACTGAAGCGATCGAACGGATGTATATGCGATTTCTACTAGTGACAACGCTGTATGTTATGGAGCCATGGGAACGATATTTAGTGCTTACTATCGCTTTTCTTGTTATCACACTTGTCACGTATTCCGCAATTGTTTTCATTCCATTCCACGTTGGTAATATCATTCGGTCAACAGTACCAAGTCTAACCGATATTCTTCTGCAGTGAACTACATCATATCTCTATTGACTTTATATGTATTTTTTTTAATGAAATGCAGTTCTTCTACCTTTCGTTTCGTGTGAATGAAAGAAAAGACTCATTGACATTCTTTGTTGGACCAAAGCGAACAAAGAGAGAAAGAGTATGATCTAGACGACGGATGTCCTTGCTTTCTTTGTTCGATAAGATTTTGTGAATAATTTTCATTTTTAGATTGACTTTTTCGAAGAATTAATCGTCTTTCATGGATATTGACTCGGAAATGTTACCAACGACTGTGAGTATGTCACACTTAGATGAAGAGTTAATGGGACGATTGCGTTCAATCACAACAAACAATCGAGAAGATTTAATTGCTCAATTCCGCGCAACCACGAATGCGATGTTAACCGATGAAGGTTGTACATTTTTTCTTGAATTAAGTAATTGGTAAGTAGCAAATGAAGGGCACTTGAGAATTTTTGTACGATACCGGTCGTTTAGGAATTTGAATGAAGCGATTCTTGCTTATTATGATGCTGAAATGCCCACAGATAAAATTCCTCAAATGAGATTCGTTGGTGATATAACTATAGGTGATGGCGAAGCCATTCCACCGAATACGAAATTTGTCAAAACTTGGCGCGTGGAAAACTCCGGTACAGTCTCATCCAGATATTTTGTACAAAACAGTGGATTTTGTGTTCTTTCACAGGTACTGAACGATGGCCAAGTAATTGTTCATTACGCTTCGTTAACGGTGATCGTTTTCAAGAACGCGATGAAGTTTACGTTAGTTCTCTAGCACCCGGTGAACAAACAAATATTTCCGTCCATATAACTAGTCCAAGTGGATCACGAATCATTCGATCACAATGGCGTTTATTTACTGCAGCGGGCGTACCATTTGGAGGTTGGAAAATTCTTTCGCCTAATTATATCTAATATAATTTCTTCTTTGTAGATCCCATTTGGGTGGTAGCAAGTGTCGAAGAAGGTGGTTTAATGGGCATAACTCAACAGCTTGCGCAATGTCATTCTCTTGGATTAAATTCTCCAGCACATATTCAACAGGCCAGCCATGCGTTTTATCAATCACCGCCATCGAATCCATTCCAATCAACACGATGTACGTGAAAACTTAGTTGTATTTTTATAATTCATTTTATGATTTCGATTAGATTCCGGACCAAGTTCTGATCCAAACACGCCAAGTGGATCTGTATGGACAAATTATTCGCTGGTAAATTTTTTTCAAGAAAGAAAATTTCTTTTAAGGAATGTTCTGTCTTCCAGGGTTATTATCCGCATATTACGAATTTTCATCATGCAACAACAGATTCTTCGACAGCATCAGCCGGAATCATCGATGACAGTTCTTTGGATACGTTTTAATCTACAAAGACAGCAAAATTGTTCTTCGTTCTTCTTCTTCTTTTTTTTATATATCAAAGCTTTATTTTTTTCCGTTGAACTATTTATGTAGATAAAAACGAAAGTCAGGCACGATTAACAGATTGATTTTTCTAAATACGACCTATTGAAGATGAGTCAGTCGACCGGTATAAATAAACAAACAAGTGAATCGACAAAACCATCGCTACCGAACCCGGAAGACACTAAACGTGAGAAAGAAACGACATACATCGACACTGTTCTCGAAGTCAACGACAACGAATTCGTTGGAAAAGAACGACTTCGCACACAGATTGACGAGCAGTTAAAAGAATTCGAAACATGGTACGCAAACGGAAAATGGTTGGATTTCCACAATCACCATTACGATTGGTGGATGTTTCCAAGTAAGTTCCAGCCGATCTCATGCGAATAAACCATCATTTATCATCAATAGTTGATGAAATCAGTAGTCGTGGAAAAGCGTATTGTTTGCCTCCCGACGTACTCAATGAATTAAAACAAGACAAGAACTTCGTTGACAAACTCCGCCGAGGTGTTAAGCTCATGGTCAGCAGTTGGGGATGGGTATGTTCGAACTGTGATCCTTCATTGAAACGTAAATACTTTTTTCCTCAAGGATATTGATGCATGTCGAAACTTTGATAAAGATAAACGAGCTGACAAACAGAAATGGTCATATTGGCCAGTTCGATTGTACAAAGCTGGTAAATGCATGTGGTTATTTGGCCAAAATGATTACTACAAATCGCTGAGACAATTGGCTGAATACATTCGAGACAAGGACAAAGAAAAACTCGATTATTTTTCACATACTAAAAATGGCAAAGCTAATGTGATCGAACAATGGGATGAATTAGAACGATGTTAATATTGTTTTATTCGTATTTGAATAAACTAGACCGCTTGATGATATTGATTCAAATTTGCGTGCATGAATCTAGAATTCGTTCAATCAACTCTCTTGCTCATTTCTTTCTTCATGCCGTAATTAATAAAGCGGAAAGAAGAACACTAGATCACAAATGAAAGGAAACATATGGCAAATCTCTTGATAAATGCATTCGAATAATCAGAAGTGATAATCAGAGAAAAAGGAACGAGTACAAAAGCAAATCAACGTTTAGTTTTGTCTCCGTGAATATTGACTATGCTTGATGCTCTAGTCATTTTAGTCATTATACCTCTTCTTTCGCTTATGGTTGCTTATTTTATTGAATGCTTTCGCAAAGTGAGACTTCAACGACAAAGTCAACAGATTTATCTTCTTATGACGCAACTATCATTGAATGAAGAAGAAGCTCCACCGGCGTATGACACTTTATTTTTTTGAAAAGATGTGCTAAAATACTTTTTGTGAAAGAAAGAAAAAACAAACGACACTACTTGAACTATATGATCTATTTCCTACGTCATAGGTATGGTTAAAACGAAAAATAAAGAGAGAGAGAGGAGGATAATCAAAATTCTAGTTCTATTTTTTTCCTTGTTCGGTGAGTGAAGTAGATGAACCATGAGTAGCTTCACCTTCATTTTTCGTTCCAGGACGGCCTTCGTGTGGATGAGGTAATGGCTGAAGTGTTGGCACAACACCCCAGATATTACGAGCGTATTCAGCGATTGTACGATCACTGGAAAATTTACCTGATGCGGCGATGTTTAGAAGACATTTCTTTGTCCAAGCAATCGGATCCTGCACAAATAAATAAATACTGAAAAGAACACAATTTTCTCAATTAATCTTACTTTAAACAGTTCACTGACACGTTCTTGACATTTGACATAGCTTTCATAATCAGCTAAAAGCATGTAACTAGAAAACACCGAAAATAAATCTTTGCTTGTTCCTTTCTTTCAGACATACTGATCGCCATGTTCGTTTAGTAAACTGTCCACGACATCATGGAATAAGTCGGGATTCTCCGGCGAGAAAAAGCCATCGCGAATTTGATCAAGTACTTGTTTGAGTTCAGCATTCTTTTCATAGAATTCTTTTGAACGATATCTAAATCATAGCAAGTTCTGACGAATTCATTCGGATGTGTTTTTTTTCTTCGCTCATACCCTTCGCTTCTGCGTTTTTCGACTTCTTCAACAGTCATACCGAAGATGAAGATATTCTCGTTGCCAACTTCTTCAGCCATTTCCACATTGGCTCCATCCAATGTACAAATTGTCATCGCACCGTTCAACATAAATTTCATGTTCGATGTACCACTGGCTTCCATGCCAGCAAGCGAGATTTGCTCGGACAAATCGGCAGCAGGAATGATTTCTTCTGCCATGGTTACACGATACTAAAAGAAGCAAATTTTCTACCAACTCAGTACAGCAATTAAAATTTACATTTTCAAGAAAGACAACTTTAAGACGATCGCCGATCACTGGATCATTGTTTATTACTTTGCCCACGCTGTTTATCTACAAAAAAAAACAGAAAGGAGTTACATTCGATAATCGTCTAATTACTTACTAGTTTAATAATCTTCTTGGCCATATGATAACCTGGTGCAGCCTACAGATACAAAAATCTTTAAATGACTCTTACAACTGCCTTTCACTCAAACCTTTCCACCAATCATCACTGTACGCGGAACGTATTTGCCATTTGGATGTGCTTTGATTCGATTGTATAATGTAACAACATGTAAAATATTTAACAATTGTCGTTTATATTCATGTATACGTTTGACTTGCATGTCATAGATGGACATGGGATTGATTTGTTGGTGTTGTGTTTTCAAGAGCCATTCTGCTAATCGATGTTTATTTTCTTGCTTAACTTGTTGAATGTCGCGAATAAATGCTTCGTTATTGACAAATTCTCTCAAACGTTTGAGATCATCGAGTTTCGTGATCCAATCTTCACCGATTTTCTACGAAAATATCAAGTCATAGACAACGAATGAAATCCAAAGAAGCGAATCTTCGTTACTTCAGCGATAGCATCACTTAGATTTGGATTGCTTAGAACTAACCAACGACGCGGAGTAATTCCGTTGGTTTTGTTTTGAAATTTTTCAGGTGTTAATTCATAGAACGATTTAAAACTAAAGATTTCCATTCAAAATATCACACGATATGAACGTCTTTTCTGCTTACAGAGTTGTTTTCAAAAGTTCCGAATGAATTTGAGCTACGCCATTAACTGCATGTGAACCCTAGAAGATTCTATTGCAGAAAGCAATGAATACATTTCATTACTTACCACAATAGCTAAGTAAGCCATATTGATACGTTTATCATCACCTTCTTCGACAATTGATAAATTACGAATACGATCGTTATCACCAGGATAGCGCGCAGCAACTTCCTAGCAAAAATATTATGTCAAGTTTTGTGCGCTATAGCAAAGATTCTTTACATACTTGAAGATGATGTAAATTAATTTCGTAGATGATTTGTAAATGTCGTGGTAAAACATGTTCTAATAAGCCAACTGACCATCGTTCTACAGCTTCAGGCATCAATGTATGATTAGTATAGGCACATGCACGTTTTGTGACATCCCAGGCAGCTTCCCATTCTAAACCTTCAATGTCGACTAATAAACGCATCAATTCAGCAACAGTTAATGCTGGATGTGTATCATTCAATTGAATAGCGACCTTTGAAAGAAAAAGATTTCATCAGGAGGAAACCGTGTTCGTGTATCTGTCTCTTACTTTATCGGGAAATGTATTGAAATCATCGCGTGTTGATGAAGAGATACCGAATTTCGAATGTTTATAACGACGAATAATATCCGAAAGTGTAGCAGCGACAAGAAAATATTCTTGTTTCAAACGAAGTTCTTTGCCTTGCATGTACTAAATGTAGAACAAAGCAACTTTCGAATGGCGATTAAAATCATACAACTCACGTTATCATTTGGATATAAGACACGAGTTACATTTTCAGCTAAGCTTTGTTCGCTGACTGCGTTAAGATAATCTCCATCGTTAACTAAACAAAGAAGAAAAACAAATTCACGACAGAAGCTACAATAGTTAACGAACAGAATTGAAAGTTGAACTTTTGTGGTGCTTTGGCACTCCATAGTCGAAGTGTGTTGACAACCTAAAACATGAGGAAACATTCGACATCTGCACACTGAATTTTCATATTACGAACGTTGTTATTAAAGCCTGGAACAGGAGTATCATAAGGCATGGCCATGATAACTTTAGTATCAACCCATTTAGATTTTCCGTTCTGTTCAATAACACGGCCGTAAAGGTTAACTGGAATTTGATACTCTGGCCGAGGTATTTCCCATGGATTTCCATAACGTAACCTAAAAATTCACATATAAAATCTCTTTTCAATTTTTTCGAACTCATTTTACCAATCATCAGGTTCTTCGCATTGAAAACCATCTTTAATGGTTTGTTGGAAAATACCAAATTCGTATCGTAGACCATAACCATAACCAGCAATACCAAGTGTGGCCATGGAATCAAGAAAGCAAGCAGCAAGTCGACCTAGACCGCCATTACCTAAGCCAGCATCCTCTTCGAATTCTTCCAAATCTTCAATTGCTAAACCAAGCTAAACAGACAAAAGACAATTGCACCCAAAGTGCAAACCTGCTCAACCATTACTTCATATAAAGCTTCATCTAATTCTGATTCGATGCCCAAATTGATCATCATATTCGATAATGATCGTCCCATGTAGTATTCTAACGATAAATAATAAACACGTTTTGGATCACTATCATAATAATGTTGTTGAGTACGAATCCATCGGCCAACAAGGTGATCTCGAACGGTATAAGCTATCGATAAAAAGTAATCCCGATTCGTAGCCACATTGCGATCTTTGACGATGGTAAAGTGTAGATGACGATTGAAAGTTTTTTTCACGGATGCGACGTTTTCGAGTAACGGAAGACCACGAATGGAGATTTGCTTGCGACGATCTTTATCGGTCAACGGAGCTTTTGTCGATGGTTTCGACATGATCGAAATCTGAAATAACAAATGCAATGTACTCGTATGCTCTCTTTCTGAACAATAAAAAAACACATAGACATTCGCACTTTAGTAAGAAAAATAACGAATAAGAAAAAGAAAGAAAAATGCACACGTACTTTGTATTCCTTTATATACCGTCGAAAATGGATGTTTTTGTCGTTCTTCTATTTCGACACACTAGCACGTGATAGTAGACATCTAGGCAAAGGAGAAGCATCAAGGAACAATGAGTAACATGCGATAGATATAATACACTGCTATCAAAATCGAAATCATGCGTGAGATGTGTGAAACAGTTTAAGGGCACATGACACGATTCGATTAGCGAAAAAAACACTACCTACGCATACTTTTCGTGCGCAATTAACGACTATTTGGTTTAGTACATGTGTTATATGTGACTTCAAAAACAATGTTTGTATGAGAAAAAAACGTAACGTCTAACGTTTAATTCAACATAACCTGCGTTCTTATCTTTGTGATAGTTTTCTTGTTGATTATTTCGTATACTAGTTAGTTCTTATCATTTATTGCATTCTTAGGCACATTCAAAGTAAATAGTGCGGTACAAGTGTGACTATGGGTCTGTTTATCAGAGTCTATATTTCCGGAGAAAACAAAAGCGCAAAACAAAACAATAACTAATAAAACAAGGGCCTATTTATGTTTTTTCTTTCCATAGAATTGTTCCATGAAGAGTCCAACGAACACCAACGCCGTGCCACACATCTGTTGCTTCGATATTGGATTTCCGAAGATAATCACAGAGCAAAGAATAGTGAAAAATTTTCGTGTCGTGGTGAAAATTGAACATGTTAATGGACCAAACCATTCGATGGTGAAAAAGATACCAATCTAAAATGAAAACTATCACATAATGTAAATCGAAGACGGAATCAACTCACTTGACCAC